CTGGTGTCCTTAGATCAATCCATTACCTAGACATCCTTTGAAAGGAAAAGCTCAGTAAACAGAGTAAGAAAAAGAGATGGATCCATGGATCCATTCTCTAGTAGATTTGGAAAGGAGCTAAATCGCAATTCCCCTGCCTCCCTGTAGCCCTTGGCGAGGTGTTGCAGGAGTTCCCAGCATCAAAGCTCCCACTCATCACTGCTGCTCTAAAGAGCAGCAATTCTGACATTTCAGGATTGAGCCACTGTGGTGGGATGACCTCAAGAAGATCTCTAGAAGGTCTCCTGGCCTAGATACACAGCACTTCTCCTTTGCAATGAAAGGTGTAATTAGGAGATGTGTTTTATGAAAGGTTATCTTAGAGCTTATGAATCACCTATCTAGAGCAGTAGCTGCTGTCTCAGCTGGGATCCCCTGTGATAGCAGGAGCCGTATAATGTGTGTCCCCTTTCCCTGGAGAGGAAAGCCTGGTCTCTCCCGCTAGGCACCCCTTGGGGACTTCTAGTTCTTCTCTATCTTGTGATGCCCTTCAGTCTCCTGCCACCAGGCCACAGTGTCGCCAGCCAAAGGAGCTGGGCTTCTTCCCTGCAGGGGCCACGACCGTTTCAAAGCGTTACAGTATGGACTCTTCCAGTGTGCTGGGCAGACATGTGCTCTTGCACTCCTGCTGATCTCTCTTTTCTACAGCTGGCATTTGCTGCGTTAAGAACTGCAATATTGTTAATAGGAACAAAGAGATGTAAGCTAATGAATGGTCCAGAGTTTTGGGATGCTTTTTAGCCTGTTTGTTCTTGGGATACACAAGTGCCTGTTAAAGTCTGTGCTACTCTAACTGTGAGGTTACGCAGGAATAAAATGGTATTCAGAGAACACCTTTAAGCTTGCAGAATCGGCAGATGCCAGATACACAGTCTCCTGGGTAGCTTTATTCTTCCTGCTTTGTGCATGCACTCTGTATACAGGAGGAGGCTGCGGTCCTGTGGAAGAAGAGGTGTGTGGTCACGGAATTAAAGACTACATCTATATATACAAAGAGAGATGAAGGGATGACTTAAGATGTCCCCTGCAACGCCAAACCTGATACTTTGCCTCTTATCCACATTAATTTCCTAGAAATAATATTTTCTTTAAAGAAAAAAGGATAAAAACAAATATTGTTATCCTGCATTAGCGGCAGGGCTGGAGCCCTGTGTCTTCCCACTGTCTCTTTTTCCTCACTGCTCCAGTCCTAGTTGTCCTTCCTAACACAGATCTCCTTTGGCCCTGTCCAAGTCTGGCACATCTGTGAATGAAATACTTTCGTAATGCAGCACGGTCCCACGTAGCCTATAGCTCCCCATTCGAGACAGATAGACCTCCCTTCAGTCCCTACTTGGGTTGCAGCATGGTTAACAAGCTGCTCAGCCTTCTGTAAAATGGGGGTTTAGTGCCTGGGGAGATTTAAGACAGCTGCAATAAAATTAAGTTTGTCACAGAGAGAGGAAGCAGTATTGTATGTATTTGTGTAGAGGCTAATCCTTTCCTTAGTGATGTGGAAACTACCAAGAGGAAAAGCCAAACTGCACACAGACCAGAACTCCACCCTTCCAAGGAAATTGCCCAGGCTGTTCTCCGTTTACTTGCCACCCAAGGACTTCCCCATCTTACATTAGTGCTGCATGAAATGCTCCCCTCCTTTGGCTTCCTGAGGTTTTCTCAATGGCTTTTTGTGTGCCCCCACTACTCAGGTGTGTCTCTGTTTATTTCTTTATGGCAATAACAGGATAACCTTATCTGTCTTGTTGTTAGTCAAACCTTTCCATTAGTGTGTACCATTGAAAAAAGGGATCTGTGTCCAGTGGACCCACTTGGAGAGCATGAAGAAGTGTACAGCCCTGCATTACCTTCTTTTTCCAGCCTCCAGGGACCTCCCCTGATTTCTGAGGAAGAACAGTAGAAATGGGAGAACTGGAGAAAGCGGTAGTAACTCATACTGGAGGCAGTGGTTCCTGCTGGTCAGTCATGATGCGGTCAGCCAACTTCTGTTGGCACATTCATTCTTCCCAGAAAAGAGAAGAAGCTAGACATCTGGCAGGTTGTGTTTCTTAGAGATGCTTCTGTATCCCCAGAAAGGAGGCTTCTCTGCCCAAGAGTCACCAGGATTGATGAGGTTGTGATCCGTCTTCTCTGCTATGCTCTCCCTCAAGAACTGGACTTGCTTTCTGAGTATCTTTGTTCTTCTGCCTGCTTTTTTCCTTGACAACTGCTACTCCATGCTGGTCTTCCTTACTCAGCCTTCTCTAGGACCCGGGTCTCAATGCTGTACTGGACTGGGCAGCTACAGATCTACCCCACAACCCCGATCTAACCCTTTCTAGCTTCCAGGATCAGTATTTTCCACTTAGGGCTCTCAGCAGAATGAAAACCTTCCTTTCTCTGAGAGGATAAAAATGGGAGCACCTTCTGGGCTTTGCTTTATCCTAGCACCGCAGTCATCCTGATATTTTCCATCTCCATTTAAGGACTGAATTAAGACTCATCATATCCTGGGGTTTTTTTTGTACTCTGTGTTTAATATAACGTTCTTTATTATATTTATCTTGTTTCTTATGTTTGAGTCATTTATTATGTTACTTTGAAGACTGGGCCTCCCTGTAAACTGTCTTTTTAGGAAAGCTGAATTACATTTACAGGAGATCTTTCATGTGTTTAAGTCTTTGGTTCCTTTATGTTTTTATATGGTCACCAGATAGACTTTCAACTCATGGCTTGGACCGAAAACAGGAAAGCCAGAAAGTGAGAACATTTCCAAATGTTGCTTGCTCTTTGCAACTTATAAAAGTTGCAAAGAATTAGAAGGATCTCCCACACCAACATTTCTGTAGCACTGAGAAAGAAACTAGTCTATTCTTTACAGTTCGAAAAAAAAGGAGGGGGCTTACTGGAGCGTGATCTTCGAAACCTTCAGAAATAATAAGAAATGTTTTCTAAGTGCATAAGTGCAGGTAGTTCTCCCCATTTACTGGGCAGAGAAACAGGAGAACAACAAGCTTTTGATGTGTGCAAAGTCGGTCAGTACAGGGAGATGGAAGTCCCAAATCCTTCTCCAGCAATCTTGGGCCAAAACACTTAGCACAGATGAGCGTCTTGGATTCTGACTGCAGATTTCCGATGTCCTCTGTGCTCTGTTACCATACAGTGTCGCACCCTCCAGGGATGGCTCGGCACCACCTTTGTAACGAGAGAGCTGCGTGGAACTGGATACGTACATTTATGGTGCTATGAAATGATGAATTTGCCTTGCAGGGCAAACTGAGTTGACCAGTTTTGCTTCTAGATTTGGTGACTGAGATAAACCACTTCGCCTTGTCTGAAGCAAAAGGTTTTTGAACCTTACAGATTAGCAGCTATGGAGGGAAAGGGTTACCAAAGGGGCTGAGCCTGGGAGGGTTTAGCTCCTTTCCTACTGGACTATTAAAGGATGTGGTTTCATTAACCTCTCAGCTTCTGTAAATCTGGCAACATCAAAGCCATGTATTCAGATTTCAGATCTGATTTCGTTTCCTAGTCTGTTTTCTTATCCCATGATCTATGGGATGAGTATTTCATTTGCACTTTGTCAGACTAAGTTTGGAGTGGGGGGTTGATATATATGTCAGTGTGTTTTTTACATAGACATTTCATGGATTAAATAGTGCTGGCAGATACTATCTTCATCTACCACAAGGAGAACATATAATTTATTCTTGTCTCAATATATTAAAAGAAATACAGCACAAAGAAAAAGGGAAGAAAACCACCAAAAAAGGATATGAAGATATAATCCCTTCAAGCCAAAAAAATACCAACTCCATGACATCCTTGTCTGTGGGGAAACTCAGCTCCCAGATTATTTTGATAAACTTTATTATAATCAGTTTAACACAAAAGCCAGCTATTTATTTAATCTTACCCAGCCTGCAGAAATGTCATCTACTAAGGACATTGAGGTTATTATTTTTTCACTTAAAAAAAAAAAAGCCCCAAATTGTGCCTACTGTTAAGACTGTGATTCTAGAGACGTGGCTGGATGTGTCTAGTTTGTTTATTTTTCTTCTATTGTTTGATTTCCCTCTGTAGATGTACGAGGGCTCTGTTACCAGCTGCCGAGTATTTTCTCAGGCGCTGGCAGCAGCGTTGGTCTGTAGGCCCAGGCAGCAGCACCCGCGATGGGGGAATAAGTGGGCAGGAGCCGGGTGTAGATGGGGCTTGTGTCCCACCCCGGCAGTGCTCACTCACTGTGACAGCCAACATGGACCTGATGGTACCAAAGTGGGAGTGAGTCATCGTTTAGCGTTGGTCTGTTCTAGGATAACGCTGTCACTAAAAAGGGAAGCAAAGTTGTTTAAATTATCTATAGGATGAAACAGAAAGAAACTCCCTCTGCCCTGTGAGCCATCGTGATCCCCTTTGGACAGCTCGTGTAAACGGGGCTTCAGGCAGCGGTAGCTGAAACTTCACAGAGCTGTTGTGCCTGTGGTGGGTAGTAGCTCTTTGTGTTTTGCGTCTCCCGTGCCCAAGAGTTTTAAAACCTGTTGCAAGCTTAAGACTGGCAGCATCCTGCTGTGAGAGGTGCTGTATAGGCTCATATAGTAGCCACTATCCCCATGTCCCACCATTACCTGCCTCCCCCAGCGTGTTTCTGTGGAGTTTGCTCTCAAGGGCGAAAGTGGAGCTGTTGCTCACATCTATTGTAGATGAACAAGAATGTATTTCTTGTAGCGATCGGGAGTTGCGGTCACATGAAGCTCCTGCTGTGCAAACAACGGCAATACTGATAGTCCTCCTGTGCAACTGGGAAAATGGGGTGGAAAGGGGGTACAGATCTACGCCAGCAGCAGTGCTGATGATCACCACTGGGGCTAGGGGTGGACCCCTGTCTCCTGGACGCAGGCCCAGGGTGCTGACCGCTCGGGCCTGCTTCTGGTGCGTGCCATTGCGCCATGCCCCTAAACCTCTGTTTCCATGTTTTCCCTCCTCAGGTAAGATCCTGTTCCGGAGGAGCCACGTTCGGGATGTGGCTGTGAAGAGGCTGAAGCCCATTGACGAGTACTGCCGGGTAAGAGCCCATTACAGGAAGGATCTTCTTTAGACTAACAAAGGGAGGAAGACCCACAGGAGGGGATGATCCTTCCCAAGCACCACTGGGACTAACAGGGCGAGTGAAAGCAGAGGCCGCTCTTTGCTCCCAGGGTCCTCGGCCGCCGTGGTGAAGACCACAAGCCTGGTCTGCCTTGTTAGGGCATTTCTGAATGAAGATTTTATCTCTACCAGCTGCTTACTTCAGTCGTGGTGAATGTAAATGTTTAGCAGGCAGAGAGGCACAACGAAGATGGTGTTTTTTCTCTCTTGTCTGCCCGCTGTGTTAGGGGAGTCCTGGTGCACACAGAGCTGGAGACAGGCTGGTTCCCTCCGAGAGTGTTGCTTGTAACAAGTGAAAGCCTGGAAATATATTGCACGACAGAAAAGCATGGCTGTGTTGAGAAGAGGGTTAAGCGACCTAATCTTTCCTTTCCAACTTTGAGTTTATGATTTGTTGATAAATAATCCCCTGACAGTAGATTAAAAGTCATTTCTAAGCAAGACCGATACCCAGTTGTTATAGAGGTCTAGAGCATGTCAGCCGGAGTGCATAATTTAAACCCCAGACTTCCTCTTTTATTTCCTATGGGGTTTTACTTCTGTTTATAGAAAGCCAGAGGAGCAGGTGGAGGGGAAAAAATACGTTCACAAGAACTTTTCCTGTCAGACATTTGCTCATCCAAAATTAGGAGCAGATCACTGAAGAGCCCGAGGCGTGGGGAAAGGGGGAGCAATAACTCAGCTCCATTGAAAGCCATGCCAGCTGAATCACCCCGGCAAGGAAACCCTGATTAAAGTCTTATCCCATGAGATCAGGCTTTTCGCGGGACAATTAGCACACTGTCTTCCTGACCATGGTCTAAGGGCTTGCTTTAAGCTATGCGCGCTCTTGCTGCATCCCCGGCCTCCTTCCTTCAGACAGGAACTGCTGCGCCGCCGGCGCCGAGGAGCAGTGTCAGGGTTCACCGAGCAGATGCGCTATCTCCAAAGCGGTCGTTTACTGCGGTGGGGGCAGCCGCGACCTCCGACCGCCCGAGCCGGGGGTCTGGGCCCCGCTGTCTGCGCCCCAGACGGACCCGAGCGGGCCAGCTCAGGGGTGCACCGCCGGAGGAGTATGTTGTAGCGTCAGCTCTTTCTGCGCTCTTTCTCCTTTGCTTTTCTCCGCCTGCAACAAGGATGGCTCGGTCCCTTCCGGACTTCATTTCCTATGTGTGTGCCACAGCAGGTTTAAATTATTAAGAGGTGGGTTTACTGCTGTTGCCCAGCTCAGGGAGGTGACTGGATGCTGCCCCAAAGCCAAGCGGTTTGCCTAATCTATTTATTAATAGATGCTGTTTTTGTGAGCATAAAAACAGCCAGATCAGGTTAGAGTCCAGTTTCCTCTAGCCCAGTATTTCCTGCCTCCAGCAGCAGTTGCAGTGGATGCCCAGCAAAGAGCATAAAACTCGGGTAAACATATAGTGACTTCTCCAGAATATTATCCCATTCCAGTGATCCGTGATTCAAAAGTTTCTTGTGCCTGATGTGGTGTAATTTTATTTCATTTGTAGTTTATTGTAATTTGTATTTAATTGCCTTGGTACTTCATAGTAGAAGATGTTTAAATCTGGATAGCACTGGAGCGTGAGGCTAGAAGTCACTGAAAAGCTTGAGCAAACATTGTGTCTTGTGTCTGCACGTCTACTTCAAGGGGGCTACATCTTCCATCATGTCTTTCTGCATGGGGTGTCAGGGCCTTGTGGGAAGGAGACCCTGGGTACCCGTCAGTTCCCATATGGCGTTTCTCGTCCGGGTGTGTATGGCTCTGGCTGTGTCTGAAGAGCCTGTGCTGCAGGTAGGTGGGTGCTGGGACCAGTGGCAGGTCGTAAAGCCCTGTCAAGCTATTTTCCCATCCCGTATCTGAGTTCACTCAAAGCCTGGACATTAATGTGTATCCAGTGTGGATGGCAGGCATGTTTGTGCCTACTCTTAAAACAGCATAGATGTAGTGATGGTGCCCTGACTATATCAGACCCATTTACAGGCTGATTTCTTCTTCTCCTTCCACTAAAGCTTCTTCCTAATCACAGGGATTAAAGAGAACATGGTAGCTGGTCAGTCTGTTGCCTGGCACAGGACTAACCCAGTCGCTCTAAAATCCCACAGCCCACAGTAGGAAATGTAGGTATATAAACAGAGAGACCGGAGCAATTGCAACTCATACCTCTGCCAGCCTCCCTGTGGCACATCCTAGAAAAACAAGATTTTCTTTTGAAAGTTTCTAGCTGATACGATTTGCATTTATTCAAAGAATGATTGTCCTATGTTTTTGCTCTTCCAAATCTGGCCGAGGATACAAAAGTCCACGGGACTTTGAAAATAATAATGAAAATCAGATACTCTGAACTTCAAAGATCCAAAAGATTTAGTGAAACACCTTGCAGAAGGAGACTTCCTTGCTATAGTGAAGTTAGTGGTGGTTTTGCTACTGAACTTTAGCAGGACAGGATTTACTCTCTGGGGCTCCATAAGGCTTAAAAATCAGAAATGTTTTCTTGGTGTCTTCACTAAAGGTTACCGCTTAGAAGGTTTCTAGGAATATGACTTTAACCCAGGACAGTAACCTTACTGTATCTTTTTACATTCCAATATGAAGTTAACCAGGCATGATAGAAAGCTGTGAACTGGGTATTGAAAAATTAGGTGGTGAGTCTAAACTTGATTTGACTCATTTCACCAGCCTAAACCAAAAATATTTCTCTCTCTCCATTCAGCTGTTTCCCCCCTATAATTATAGAGGGAACCTGTATGGCTAGCTTGGCTGGAATGCCTAACTTTTAGAAAGCTGAACTGAAATGTAAGGAAAGCCCCCTCGGTGTAAGAAAGGAAAAGTTTTTTGATAACAAAATAGTATTAATCACTACTGTTTCCTATGAAGTAGCAACTACTGTTGCATTTATGTTTTAGCATTACTTGAATGAGGGGTAGGATCATGCCCAACACTTTGGAAGCATTGGCTGTTTTCTACCTTTCTTCTCTCATCCAGTGTATTTTTGACTTTTGAAGAATTGCGTTGAACTGTAGAACAAGAGCCTCATTTTGACAGGTTAATTCCAGTTCCTATAAAAGAACAGTGCAAAGCTTATGTCCCATGCTAGTTCTTAGAATGGGTAGGCAGATGCTTAATATTGAAATATTTAGAGAATGATGCTGGAATGATGTGGGTGAAGGTGATGGAGAAAATCTGACATGGGATAATAAAGTGAATAAATGCAACAATAGGCCTTTATCCACTGGAATCTGTAAGGACATAGAGGAAGGAGGCAGGTTCAGATGTAAAGTTCATGTAGTTTTTTTGCCACAAGAGGATTCTCCATCCATTTCAGCTCTCCTGGAAGGAGGAAACACAGATGGGCCCTGGCGAAGGAGTGATGCAAATGTTTGGCCATTTGTTGTTTTGTTTTTGCAGCCTGTCCCTGGCAGTGTGCGATGATTTGCATGGCTGAGAAGCGGGTCTGACTTCCGCTGTTTTGACATGTTGTTCTTGCACCAGGCACAGGAGCAGTGAGGGTCAGGCAAAAGCCCTCCGATGAGTGTTTGTGGGGAGAATCAACTTTACGGGTTGGTCTCCAAAATGTGCTGTGTCAGCCATCAAGCACGTGGGCCCTCTGCACCCCGCAGCAGTGGCCTCCAGACCCCTCAAACCTGTGTGATTCTTCACTGCTTTATACCAGCTTAGAGAAATAGCATCACGGAGATAATTAAGCCAATGTTTTTGCTCAGGCCATAAGAAGCTTTGAAGCCGCAATGAAAAACAGAGGAGTGGGACATACAGGGAAAGATTTCCAGGGCTTTTCTCATCTGTAAACATAAAAGTGCAGTGTCTGGGTGTCCTTACTGGTAACCTGAGCGAGTTACCAGACAGACTGAGTTTTGCCTGTAAATATGTACTGCCCACTGGAATTGATATCTCTGGATGATTTCCCTCTTAACTGTAGGCTTGGAAATAGCTTAGTGTGATTTAAGGTCTCCTGGGCTTTTGGGGGATGATTTTCTTAATTTTTTAGGAGCTTTTGCCAATGTGAAAGAAAGAGCAACTTTATAATTTTGCCTTGCCAGGGGCATTTTATTTAATAAGGTTTTGATGTCCCAAACACATCTCTGGTGTGTGCATGTCCAATATGTACTGTCCTGTGTTCAAGAAAGACCTCTCAGGCCAGTGGTTCCCAAAGCCACCACTCT